AAAAAAAATTAGACTTAAACCATTCTTAAACAATTTAATTAAGTTGCGGACTTAAATTTTGAGTTTGAAGGGTTGGGGAGAAAAACGGTTTGAGTTCGAGCAAAATCCAAATAGTTATTTTTTAGAGATGAGGAATTTGAGTTTAGGACCAAATGGGTTGAAGAAGACCTAATCAATATTATTCAATACAAAACATTTCCAGCTTTAGTGTAAATTGTAGTCATTGCAGCCTCAACAAGTCTACTTGCTTTTAAATTGTCACGTACTTCTCCCTTTTAATAGGCTTTTAAGCCAATGCTGCAATACTTTTAGAGCAATATAATCACAGTAGGAAAACAGTCACATAATGTACTATAAGGATTTATATGCATCCAATGTTATAAAATAGTCAGAGTATGAAAGTACCACTGAATATTGAGGTAGAATTATATTTGCTCTTGTGATTTTACACTGATAGAAGTTTCTCTCTTAGATAAAACTCTATGACTCTCATATTTCTCACTCTATTTTCTTTCCTCACTGGTGTGCTCTCATTCTCTGATGGTGTGGGAAGCCTATGTATAGGCAAATTGGATGGAAGCAACCAAGGCTCTTGTGAATGTGTAGTAAGGGCAAGTTGCAGACAAGCTTTATCCAAGGTTTTCAAATAAATAGTTAGTGGGCTCCACTCAAAGACTTTTACAACACTCCTCCTTAGAGACCACAAGTCCCTTGATTGGTTGCCTCATTAAAATCTTGCTTGGAAAAATCCAGTGAGAAAAAACCTAAGCGAAGGGAAAAGAGTACAACTTCATTTGGGACATTAGAACAATGTTGAATGCGCTCATGTTACCTCGTTAAAACCTTGCTAGGAAAAATCTAGTGGGAAAAATCCTAATCGGAGGAAAAAGAGTACAACGTACATATGTCCTGTGTTAGAGGACTCTTGAATGTTGCCCATGATTTTGCATGCTTCAATTCAATTGCTTGCAGAGTTGACGTAATACAATGCCATGCACTAGCTTTTGGAATGTACATTTTGGCAAAGATTTGGTGAAGAGGTCTGCTAAGTTATTGCTGGAACATATTTGTCTAACTTTGATATCTTGACTATTCTGAAGCTCATGTGTGTAGAAAAACTTTGGTGATATGTGCTTGGTTCTGTCACCCTTGATGTATCCTCCTTTGATCTGAGCAATGCAAGCTGCATTGTTTTCATTCAGTATGATTGGAGTGTATGTTGCTAAGGGTAAGGCACATATGCTTCGGATGTGATGGATCACCGACCTTAACCAAACACATTCACGACTAACCTCATGGAGTGCAAGTATTTCTGAGTGATTGGAAGATGTAGCTACCAACGTTTGTTTTGTTGAGCGCCACGAGATTGCAGTTCCTCCACATGTAAACACATACCCTATTTGTGAGCGTCTTTTATGAGGATTATAGAGATATCCTGCATCAGCATATGCAACAAGACTCGGGGTATTGGTCGATTATCTGGAATAGAATAAGCTCATGTCTGTTATCCCACGAAGATATCGTAGAATATGTTTGATGCCGATCCAATGTCGGCTTGTTGGTGCATAGCTGTATCTTGCTAACAAATTTACTGAAAATATTATGTCTGGTCTAGTGCATTGTGCTAAGTACAATAAAGCACTTATTGTATTGAGGTATTGTACTTCTATACCAATGACCATTTCATCATCCCCTTATGAACGATATGGATCTTTCTTAGTGACAAGGGACCAAATGACCATTAGAGTGCTAAGTGGATGAGCCTTATCCTTGCCAAATCGCTTCAATACTTTTTCAGTATAAGTTGATTGATGGACCAAAATCCTACTAGCACTACGCTCAATATGCAAGCCGAGACAATATTTTATCTTTCCAAGGTCTTTCATCTCAAATTCATGTTTGAGATAATCAGCATTCTTTTGAAGCTCTTCAGGAGTTCTAACTAGATTCATGTCATCGACATATACTGCCACTATCGTTAATACAGTCTTTGATTTCTTAATAAATACACATGGGCAAATAGGATCATTTGTGTATCCTTCCTTAAGTAAATACTTATTGAGACGATTGTACCACATTCACCCAGATTGCTTTAGTCCATACAATGATCATCTTAATTTAATTGAGAACATGCCTCGTTGTTTATTCTTGGCTGCTTCAAGCAGCTTAAGTCCTTCTTGGACTTTCATGTATATATCTGCATCCAATTCTCCATACAAATATACGGTAATGACATTCATAAGTCTCATGTCAATTTTTTCTAAAACCGCCAAACTTATTAAGTAACGGAATGTAATTGCGTCCATTACGGGAAAGTATGTTTCTTCATAATCAATCCCAGGCCTTTGTGAAAAACCTTAAGTAACGAGTCGTGCTTTATAGCTTGCGATCTCATTTTTCTCATTGCGCTTTCTTGTAAACACCCATTTGTAACCTACAAGATTCACATTAGGTGGAGTTGGAATAGCAGGTCCAAAAACACTCCATTTTTCCAAAGAATTTAATTTTCCCTGGATTGCATCTTTCCACTCAGGCCAATATTTTATATGTGCAGTCATCAACAAAGCGAGGCTCAATATCATCATCTTTTATGATCTCAGTAGCCACTGAGAATGCAAATATATCATCGATGATCATCTCATTTATATTCCGCAATTCATTAGTGGATGTATAATTTATGGAGATTTCTTGACTATCAGGTACCACTACCACTTTAGGGGCATTTGTCTCACTAAGGACATTTTCCTTTTCAAGAAGTATCTGTGCCTCTTCAGGGGCATTTGAATCCTGAATTGTGGGTTCTCCATTCATTTGATTTGGATTCATTTTGACCACCAACTCCTCTTTCAAGGAACTAAATAATTTGAGCCTAGTGGTCTGCCACGCTTCAAGCGTGCAATAGTTGAATCATTCGCTAGCACATTGTTTTGTCCATTATGGATATCAATCCTTGTAGGTGCATTTGCTGTTGGGATATGTGATTTTGTCATTTTTGTTGCATCATTAAATGCAGCTGGCATTTGATTGGCAATACTTTGAAGATGAACGATCCTCTTCACTTTGTTTTAGCATTGAGCAATACGAGAATCAAGATAAGAAAAAGTGGGTACACCTCACGATAATTCACATCATTTTTCAAGAACGAGTTTGCCTTATTGTTCTTTAGGAACAGATTTTTCTCCCCCTAATAGTGGGAAAATTATCTCTTTAAAATGACAATTTTCAAATCGTGCGGTAAAGATATCGCCCATCAAAGGCTTCAGATATTGAATGATAGATGGTGAATCAAAGCCATCATAAATTCCCAATCTGCATTGAGGACCCATCTTAGTACATTGGATTGGTGCAATGGGCACATAAACTGCACAGCCAAAAACTCTTAAATGTGAAATGTTTGGTTGATTACCAAATACGAGTTGTACTGGAGAATACTGATTGTTAGCAATGGGCCTCAACCGCACTAGTGATGGTGCATGTAAAATGGCATATCCCCAAGCAGAAATTGGCAACTTTGTCTTCATGAGCAAAATGCAAGCTATCAACTAAATACGCTTAATCAAAGTTTCAGCCAAACCATTTTGAGTATGAACATGAGGAACATGATGTTCAATGTCAATGCCCAGTGACATACAGTAGTCATCAAAAGTCTGAGATGTAAATTCACCAGCTTTATCGAGTCGAATTAACTTAATGGGATAATCTGGGAATTGGGCTCGTAATTTAATTATCCGAGCCAAGAGCCTAGCAAATGAAATATTCCGAATGGACAAAAAGAAAACATGTGACCATCATGTAGATGCATCAACCAAGACCATAAAGTACCGAAATGGTCTGCAAGGAGGATGAATAGGTCCACAAATGTCCTATTGGATTCTTTGTTAAAATGATGGGGATTCAACATTAACCCTTGACAGAGATGGTTTGATTACCAACTTCCCTTGTGAACAAGCCTAGCAAGAGCTATCACTTGACAACATAGTGTGTTTTGTCAACAAGAGATGTCCTTTAGAATTGGTAATGATCATACACATTATGGTGGATCCAGGATGACCCAACCGGTCATGCCAAAGCTTAAAAGCATTTGAGTTAATGAACGTCTGGTCCCTGACATTATGTGCCTCAATTATCCATATGGTTGCACGGTACAACCCTAATGAGAGGGCACAAAGCTTCTCCAGTATACACTTCTAGGTATCATTGGAGGTAATGCAAAGATATTCCATATTTCCCAAATTTTTTTTGTTTCAATGTGGTAGCCATTCAAACGTATATCTTTAAAACTCAACAGATTTATTATGGAGTTAGATGAATATAAAGCATCTTGAATGGATAGTATTGTTCCATTTGGTAATAACTTGGGATGTTCCTGAGCCTTCAATCATATTTGCAGGACATGGTATAGTTGTTACCTTTGCTTTTGTAAGCATCAAGTTCGAGAAATACTTTCGATCTTGAAGGATCGTGTGACTAGTCACACTGTCTGCGAGACAAATATCTTTGCCAGTGTTCTTGTTTTGGGAACATCCATAATTTATATCTATGCCTTCAAATAAATAAATAAGTTGAATCAATAAACAATTATTCAATGTAGAGGAAAAACACTGCCACTTTTATTGAATTGAAATGAAAGTTAAAAGCAATACTTTAGATAATAGAAATGGTACATAAGGGGAATTAATCTAATTTGGACCCATAAACTTCATTCCCCCTTTCAATAATAAAGTCGGATATATCCAGATGAGTCATGTCTGACTGACGCAATATTTCCAATAGGTCATGTGTGGCTGGTGGATCTGGTGTATCCATTGGATAAACATGATCAATATAATTTGTCTCCACTTTATTATCTTTAAGTGAAGATTGATAAACATCTGCCAAATGCTTTAGCGTACTATAGATACGCACCCAATGTCCCTTTACGCCACATTTGTGACAAACACCTTAATATTTCTAGGCACATAGCTTGTCTGAGGTTTCCCCTTATTCCGGGATGCATTTTTTCAGCTCGTGGCTGGATGGCTCCTTGGACCCAAGCCATAAGAATGGGTACCATGATCTTTTCTATTCCCTTGCCAGCGGTCACGCCTACCTCCTCGCCTATGTCTGTGGATATTGCCTTGAGAGAAGGTGGCATTTACTTCCTGAGATGCATCATTCACTTCAGGGAATGGTGCTGAGCTTGTTGGGCGAGATTGATGAGTTTTCAATAGAAGCTCATTGTTATGCCTGGCCAATAAGAGGCAGAATACTAGCTTTGAGTACTTTGTAAAACCACTATGCCTATATTGTTGCTGCAGGAGCACATTTGAGGCATGAAAAGTACTGAGGGTTTTTTCAAGCATATCCTCCTTAGAGATATTCTCCTCACACAACTTCATCACAGAGGTAGTTTTGTGCATCGTTGAGTTGTACTCAGACACTGACTTGAAATCTTGGAATCTCAAGTATGTCCACTCATATCTGCCTCTCTGGAAGATCATCGTCTTTTGGTGATTGTACCTTTCACATAAGGGTTTCCACAAAACCAGTGGGTTATCAACCACTATGTATCCGTTTTTCAGTGCTTCATGAATGTAGCGGTGAAAAAAATCATTGCTTTGCGTTTTCTTATGGGGATGCATCACTTCCATCCACAGTGGTTTTTCAAGGCTATTGGCTTGCAAATGGATCTTGGCATCTAAGACCCATGATATATGTCCAACGCAGCAAATTCCACCTTTGCTAAGTTTGCCGTCTTCAAAAGAAAATGAGATGTATCAAAATTTGCAATGATATGTTTGCACTTTGTTAGAACTTCAGGTTCTCAACAAGGTTTTATTTTTGAACTTCAGGCCAAAAATATTTTGTAAATTTACCCGAAACTTTAGATTCAGGATCTGGGACATTAAGCCATTTATTAACGGGAACTTCAGGCCCCCATTGTTCATGTATATTAACTGATGATTTCTTTCATAAAACAAAGTGCAGTAAAATAACAAAATTAAATAGCATGTTAATATTATATATAGGGTTTACTACATCATACACTTGTATTTATAGATGCTTAATTGCATCGTCCAAGTTGTGTATATCATTGTGGCATTTATATATCTAGTATAGAATAAGTTATCATGTTGTGGGTAATATAACTGTGCCACTATTCAAGATATAATAAGATGGGTTTTAAAATCACACCACCATTTTTATTACGATAATATACGTTACAACGTGATGGGTAATGAAACTTTACCACCATAAAATAATAGGATGGGGAATAAAATTTTGCCATTCCAAATTACATTATGAAAAAATAAATTAAACAAACATGAATGAAACAACATAAAAATTGTGAGAGTACAAAAAAGAAAGTTTGCATGTCGTCGTAGTAGTAAAGTGAGAGTAGGCATATGACAAAGACAAGACAAAGAAATATCCACGTAATTTTTAGCTGGGAAAATTTAGAGGTGAAGAAGAGAGACTATCGTGCTGATAACGTGTTATAAAATAGTCATAGTATGAAAGTACCACTGAATATTGAGGTGGAATTATATTTGCTCTTTTGGTTTTACATTGATAGAATTTTCTCTCTCAAATAAAACTCTCTATCTCTCATATTTCTCACTCTCTTCTCTTTCCTCACTGGCGTCCTCTCATTCTCTTCTCCGATGTTGTGTCTTGCAAAGCAATAGGAAGCCTATTTATAGGCAAATTGGATGGAAGCAGTCAAGGCTCCCATGAAAGTGTAGTAAGGGAAAGTTGCAGACAAGCGTTATCCAACTCTTCAAATAAATAGTTAGTGGGCTCCACTCAAAGACTTTTACAACATCCAAGACATATATTGAATAGTTTTAGTTGCATTATTATCGTATTGGCACTTTGTCAACCTATTAATTGCTTGTGGCCATGGGCGGTGCTATGCACAGGGTAGGTTGGGTGACTGCCACACCCAGCCCAAAATGTTTTTTAAAAAAATTACCTACATGTGTTATAAGGCCATCCCAAAATTAAAAAAAATTAAAAGCAAATTTTACACATATGTTGTCCATTCAGGTGGTTCCATATCTTCTCTCTCCTTCTCTTTTGGCTATTAGACTTTTTGTTTCTCTTTCTCTCTCTCTTTGCTACTCGACAACAACAAGTTTCTCCCTTTTTTTTTCTTTTTTTTTTAATTTGGGGGGTCAAATTCTCCCTCCATTGGCTACATCTTCAATTATCTTGGGTGGGCAACTTGGCAACAGTATATTCTCCTCTCCTTTTGTCAACAACAAGTATTATTCTCATTCTCTCATTTGCTATATATGTTTAATTATAGTTTTAATTTAAAATTGAGTATTTTAGTAATTAAGGATGAATTATAATTTTGGAATTTTGTTGAAATTAATTAGGGCTTTGATTAGGGATGAATTATTATATGACTTTGATTTGGGATTTTGTTAAAATTGAGTATTCTAGGGTTTAATTATGGATGAATTATAAATTTTGGTTTGGTATTGTTGAGATGCTATTATGAAAATTTTGTTTTATTTTTTATTGGTATGTTTGATAAAAATTCTTTCTACATATTATTCATAGGCTATCTTTTAAGAGTTCCAAGCGTCGTAGGGTTAAATTTTAGATTTAAATAATGTTATTTTGTATTGCATTGTATTTACTTTTGGTTTTAGTTTTAACTTTTGTATTTGTTGAACTTTTACTTATGGATAGAGATGCATTTGATGGTATAGTTCATTATGTCACCCTGACTAGGCGTAGATTTTTATGTTTATTAATGAAATTCATTCGTGTCATCGAGTTTAGTATGGAAGTTTTGCCCAACCGGCTTTTGAATCCTGAAATCGCCACTGCTTGAGGCAAACAAAGAGGATGATCGAACCAAAAATTAGGCCTTGTGTGGTTGCCTAATCTTCACACCCTATGAGTCGGGCTTGATATTTTGACATGAAACATTGCTCAACCACCGTTAATTAACACAGATGCAGAGCCACTAAGGGATCAGAGTGGTGCTGAGTCCCTCCTCAAATTTTTATTTATTGGATTTGTTTATTGTATGATACATAATATTATTAAAAAAAAAAAGATTAGATTTTGAATATTCCAATAGAAAGAAGAAATACAAACAATTTAGTAGATTAGTTTTTATTTAATGTATGCACTTTTTCATGATCAATTTGTCCTCGTTAATAATTTATAATTATAATTTTACTCAAGAACAAAGTCCGTTGGTATTCTTTCTTATTTTATATTTCTAATAGGGGTATAATTGGAACACTAAAAAAAATCTGTTTTACATTCCTACTCAAATTAAACATGAGAAAGAAAATAAAGTGGTATTTTCTTACTTTCCCAACATTATCAAACATGATAAATAAATCTTTCGTTTATCATTCCTTAGGAAAAAACATGAGAAACAATTTCTCATCAAATCCTTCATAATCAAACGGGGCCTGGTGTGAAATTAACTCTACGATGAGGTAAAAATTTATAAATCCCTTTAGAAAAAGATTTTAGGTGGAAACAAAAAAGTAGTTGAAGGCGCATGTGCATGGTATTGTCTTACTACCATCCGCACCATAAAATACCTCATTTTTACATAATAAAATACTTGCCACCACTATTTTAATAACAAAGCTGCAAAATACAAAACGTCTCATTTGGATTTTGGCTAATTCTAAGGCTGAGGAGTGAGGAGGATAGCCCAAGCAAAGCCACCACCATGCTCTGATTCACATCCCCTTTTTCCTGCAATCAATCAAACAAACAATGTCCATTTCCATGGCCTTGTTTTCTCCCACAACCCACATCCCAACCCTCTCTCCCTCTTCATCTTACTCCAACCCCCACTTGACCCACAAGCCTTATCTCTCTCTCAGACCCAAGAACCCTCTCTTCACCACCAAAGCTTCAGGTGAAAATGGAGCAGGAGCTCTCGGCTCAGCTGCCACTGCTGTGAAGCCAGAAGCAGAGCCCAAGGTCCCCGAACCCGTCGAGCCTGTTCCGGTGAAGACTGAGAGCTCTGCTGGGGCTAATGGGTCAGCTGCTGCACCGGCTGAGGAGGTGAAGGTGGTCGGCTTGTTTGAGGACAGCAGATGGGTCAATGGGACTTGGAATTTGAAGCAGTTTGAGAAGAGTGGCAAAACTGACTGGGATGCTGTTATTGATGCTGGTATGGTTTCTGGGTATCTGTTCTTTTGGTCTTTAATTCTTAATGCTTTTCTAGTTCTGATGCAACTGTTTGATTGGGAAGGAGATTTAATTTCTTTTTAATTATTGTTTTACTCTATTGAAAATAACGCCAATGTTAAATTTGAACTTACTATTTTCTAGTTTTTTCCCCTGCTCCATACGGATCCTTGAAACAAGTATTGGATGAGGGAGAAGCATGATTAGGCCCAATTGAGAATTTTATGTTTAGAATGGGAATACCTGCTGAAAGTGCAAGACCCAAGTGGTTTAATTTGATTTCTGAACTTGCATGTCAATTTGAGAGCAGATAAATTGATGATTTATCCCCAAAAGTTTTGAAACTTAGATGAAGAGATTTCTATGTAAGTTGTCAGGAACTAAATTTGATTTTTCTCAGACTAATCTACTTTGATCCTCACACTTCATGCTGCTTTAGTTTCTTATGTTGGTTTGATCTTCATATCTGGTTGTGTTCTAATTGTGCAATATGTAGATGCACTGTTTCCTTGTTCCTCAATTAAGAAATGTATTCGGGCTAAATTTGGAAATTGGAAACAGTAAGTAAAAGAAATTGTGCTCATAAGAAGTTGGGAGATATTTCCCAAAGATTTAGACTTTCATTTCCCTTTTTTATTTTTTTTGAGACTTACACTGATAAAGAATGAAATAACTGTCCCATTGACAAAAAGAGCAAGTTGTGAGTCTAGTTTACTTACTGCATTTTCAGATATGAACCATACCTACTATAGTTTCTCAGCGTGAATTTCTGTAGTTCTTTTATAATTGTTTTATAGTAAGATCATCTGTCCAAGTCTTTTGTTGATTTTTTGTATAGCATCAATTGCTGCCTGAAATAGAGTAGGATTAAAGGAGCATCCGTTAGATATTGGTGCACCCTGTATTTAGCTGACAATTTTATGAATTTAAAAGTTTTCTTTTGCAAAGAAGAGAAACAGATGAGGTGAATTTAGAATCCAGTTATAATTGTTTCCTTCATGAGTAGCTTGCATCATTCTGATAATTCAGAAATTACTTGATTTCTGATGCACCAGTTTGCATAACCATTTTCAGAGGCTAGGAGGAGAAAATGGCTCCAGGACAACCCGGAATCTTCCAGTAATGAGAACCCTGTATTCTTTGATACCTCCATTGTACCTTGGTGGGCATGGATAAAGAGATACCATTTACCTGAAGCTGAACTACTCAATGGTATGTTCAGATCCACTGAATTTAAAAGAAGTGTAATGAGGGAAATGGCAATGCACTTCAGACTAATATATGTTCTGCTCTTTTGGGTTTTATGCAGGTCGTGCTGCTA